TGCGGCGGTCCAACGCATCGCAAAAATTGCTCGGTCTTGATCTGAAGGCTCCCACCCAATTCTGTAGACAATATTTTGCTGTGTGTTTTACTTTTGTTATTTTATGAGTGCCGCAGCACTCGTGCATAATGTCTGCTGTTGTGGAACAATCATGATCTACAGAATGTATTTTTTTTTTCCCCCTTGTACGACTGTTTGAGCCACATGACAGTACAACGGTGTGCAAACATCCCTGTTCTAATAAATTGCTTTAGAGGTGTAAAATGTACTCTCAAGTGAAAGTGAATGAAGTGAACTCTTCATTATAAGAACAAATGAGTGACAGCGAATGTGAGGGCAACATACAGTAGTTGCTCTTTGAATGGAATACAGTACAACAGAAATTGTGGCTTCATCATTACACTGCTTTTGCATTTTGTAGCATCCCTCCTTTATTATGAGCTAAAATGAAGACGCAACATCTTTAAGTGTGTGACAAAAGCATGCAACCAATGCGTGTGTTGCTGATGACTTCCCAGAAAGATTCGGACGACTGGCACACTTCGGATTAAACTTTCATTCCACCAGGTTTTTCATATTGCGTCCCTTGCTTCCACCTACAAGGCCTCTGGTTATTATGGAAACAAAAAAATGATGCCGCGAGACTCTCAACTTTGGAGGGAAAAGGCAGTGGATTTCAAGTCTCCCATGTCCATTTACCGGTAGTTAGTCTTGGATTGTTCCAAATCTGTGCTGCTCTTTTGTGAGAAGCTCCAAATGTACTGACACTGAAAGTTCAGCACTGCCACAAATCAAAGGAAAGTGGTTAACTTGCGCCATGTCAAACATCAGAATCTTCTCCACTGCGTGCTTCGGGATTAATCTCTCTTGGAAGTGATTAGATTGTAATGTATTAAGATGCCTAGTGAACTGTTGTCCTATTTTTTTGTCAGACTACTTCCAAGTTGCAAGTTAAGGGTGGGCCTTATGTTGAAGCCTTTTCCTTACACAGCACGCCAGATTCCAACACATTCATATACTGTACTTGGAAATTCAAATTCTAAATTTTAACCCCAGAAGAATGAGCCGGGCAATCTCTACCCCGGAATAGCCCAGCAACATGGCAACGTTTCTCAAAATATGGACTTTTTAAAAAAAACTTCCATCTCTGTTGTGTTTCCAAAATAAGGAGGCACACACTAACTGCATAGTTAATAGGACATAAAAGATTTACGAATGTTTTAATTGTTTTTTATTGAATTTTTTAATTTATTTTATTTTTTTAATTACATTTAATTTATTTAATTTATTGAATATTTTAAAAAAGAAAAAATAGTGCATGAATTATGAACTCCTGAGTCAATATGTTTTTATTTAATTGTTCTTTGGCCATCAAACAAATATTCTCATACTCGTGTACTTTGTGTGCCTAAGCACACAACACAAACTGGTACAATATAAACGTGAGAATGGACTAAAGTAGTTTTTATAATAAATCCTGAACAATTATTTCATTTTATGCTTTAAAAATGCATACTGTGTCGTACATCATAACATTGTAAGACCCTATTTAGTCCAAAATCAGAAAACACAACCGCAAAGTTTTAACTCAAAATGTTAAGTGTGGGCGGCTTGGCCATCGCAAATTTCGGGAAAATATGTTAATTTTCCCGCACAGCCGGCTACACTCCACCCCCTCCCCACCAAACAATCATTTTTCAGCACGCGAATGCCACCGCTACGTTTCGCCGCTTAACGGCCCATCTACAATTAGAAAAACGTTTAATGTGCAGAACGGCGTGGTGCGTTTACAAGTTGTCAATGGTGCAAAAGTACCTTGAATGCATCATGTTGCTTCAATTACTATTATAGTATGTTCTATTTGACTATCTTGCGAATTAATTTTCTCCTCATCCTGTCAAGTCATACTTAAGTTGAGTTTTCAAAAATTCAAGGATCCATAGTTCAAAAGACTTTTTTTGGGGGGTGAGGGGGTCATACCAATGCACATTTCCACATGACATGGCACGAAATACTTTACGGGATGAATGTACACTGCTCGCGTTGTTATTTGACTTGTGTCATGCTCTTGCCTCAGGAATCCGAAAAGCGAGGAGAAACGTAGCGGCGCCGGCTCACACAACTGGGGAAATGTGAAAGAGGAAGCCAGGTGAAAAGAAAAAAAAAAATCACTCTTTTACAAATACACACTATTGAGCTCCAAGTGTGTTGGTGGTGCATTCAAGGACACCGGGGCAGTAACTAAATTAATGTCCATGCTTTGGTCCTTAAGCGTTTAAAAGTTGTCAAACCAATTCTTTACTAATGTGCCACCCCATTAATATTAAAACATTTCCCTGAGGCCGAAGACCCCGGGGAAACGCATCAGATCACTTCATGGATTTCTTCTTCTTGTCCCTGGTTGCACCAGGACTTGAGTTTGTTGTTGGCAAGATAAGAAGATCTCTGTCTTCTGCGTCCGTGTCACAATCAAGGCCATTCATTGCCATCTGTTTCCTCGTCGGAGCGCATGCGGCCGATTGCACAAACAAACTTTTTGTTCATTGCTCAACCTTGACGAAAGTCTTCCTCGTGTTGTTGTCAAACACAAATGTCCATACTTTGCAGCTCCTTTTGGTCTTCCTGGTGTCCCAATCGCAGTGGTACCGTACCCAGCTGGCAGAATAGTTTATAGAGAATAGTTGATTCATTAAATTATGCGGGCCTCTCTTCGGTGAAGAATTTGGGGATTTTCCCAAACGGCTTAATTAATAATGCAAAATTTTTCTGTTAGCCATGCATGTCATTTACTTGCTCATAGCAGAACGGCCACAAGAGGGCGCCAGTGACTGGTTTGGCTGGCTTGTATCGGCTTCCTTCATGAGTACTCGATACCTTTACTTACCCGTCTAAGTTATACTTTTATGACATTTGATCAGGGGGGTGGAATTATTGAGTTATTTATCATATTGTGCCTTGCTTCAGTCGAGGTTGGCCAACACAAAAAGGTTTGTCTTTCAGTGAGGCCCAACCAACTCCCGCTCCTGCTACTGAGAAGACTCCGGAGGGAGAGGAACAGGCACCCGCTGGCTCTGAGAACAAGTGAGTGTTCCCTTCCTGTCAGCAAAGTCAGCTGAGAGCCTGGTATTGATGGGAGCGCTCCCAAATCAGCTTGACCAGATTTGACACTTTGGCTGTGTCCGCACCTGCCAGGCATCGATTTGCACGTTTATCCCGACATTCATCAATGACACTTATGACATAATGCGCTGGGTCCGCAGGGAGAACGAGGTGGAGGAAGTTAAACCGGAAGGACCCCGAGAGATGACCCTGGACGAGTGGAAGGCCATGCAGGACAAGGAGCGCACCAAAGTGGAGTTCAACATCCGGAAGGCCAACGAGGGCGCCGACAGCCAGTGGAAGAAAGGATACGTGCTGCACAAGTCTAAGAGTGAAGATGTGAGTACGGGCCCGCGATCTACGGTTAGCTAATTGCGAAAGACAAAAATGCAAAAAGTGCTCCTTTCAAAGTGGCCCGTTAGATGACTGCTACGTACTTCCAGATCCACTAGGCAAGTGAATTTCACATTTAAAGTGTGACATTTTTTCCAAATGTATTTGACATGTCCAATGACATTTCGTGATTTCAAATGTTGTGATTTGACCTCGAAACTGAAACCATTTGTTTGCTCACTTAATTTGTGATGATTTCAGTGTACTCATTCCCAAACTGATAAAAAGGAGAAATTAAGACCTGACATTCAAAGTTTAATGAATGCAGTTCTCCAAAAGCAGTTGCACCTGAACTGAGCAGGAACAGTGTCGACCTTTTGAGCTATTTATCCCAATCATTGCTTTTTTTTTTTTTTCCAAAATGTGAGAGAAAACTCCAATTTGACGTTTCCTGTCTTTGAATCTTCAGAGGCCTGTCGGAGCTTTGATTGATACTCCAGAAACGGAAGCAGATGCGCAGTCTCTGTACCAAAAGGTGCCTGCAACCTCACATTGGGTTTGATATTAACCATAGATACTGTGGCCATGTTCCGGTGATGAAATGTCAATTGAAAAGAAATTTTTAAAAACTAAAATGCATGTGAACCACAGGGCACTGGCGATGAATCTGCCGATCACCACTTCCGCAAACCGGCCAACGACATCACATCTCAGCTAGAGATCAACTTCGGAGACCTGGGCCGCCCCGGCCGTGGGCGCGGGGGCCCTCGTGGGGGCAGGGGAGGTGGCCAACACAAAAAGGTTTGTCTTTCAGTGAGGCCCAACCAACTCCCGCTCCTGCTACTGAGAAGACTCCGGAGGGAGAGGAACAGGCACCCGCTGGCTCTGAGAACAAGTGAGTGTTCCCTTCCTGTCAGCAAAGTCAGCTGAGAGCCTGGTATTGATGGGAGCGCTCCCAAATCAGCTTGACCAGATTTGACACTTTGGCTGTGTCCGCACCTGCCAGGCATCGATTTGCACGTTTATCCCGACATTCATCAATGACACTTATGACATAATGCGCTGGGTCCGCAGGGAGAACGAGGTGGAGGAAGTTAAACCGGAAGGACCCCGAGAGATGACCCTGGACGAGTGGAAGGCCATGCAGGACAAGGAGCGCACCAAAGTGGAGTTCAACATCCGGAAGGCCAACGAGGGCGCCGACAGCCAGTGGAAGAAAGGATACGTGCTGCACAAGTCTAAGAGTGAAGATGTGAGTACGGGCCCGCGATCTACGGTTAGCTAATTGCGAAAGACAAAAATGCAAAAAGTGCTCCTTTCAAAGTGGCCCGTTAGATGACTGCTACGTACTTCCAGATCCACTAGGCAAGTGAATTTCACATTTAAAGTGTGACATTTTTTCCAAATGTATTTGACATGTCCAATGACATTTCGTGATTTCAAATGTTGTGATTTGACCTCGAAACTGAAACCATTTGTTTGCTCACTTAATTTGTGATGATTTCAGTGTACTCATTCCCAAACTGATAAAAAGGAGAAATTAAGACCTGACATTCAAAGTTTAATGAATGCAGTTCTCCAAAAGCAGTTGCACCTGAACTGAGCAGGAACAGTGTCGACCTTTTGAGCTATTTATCCCAATCATTGCTTTTTTTTTTTTTTCCAAAATGTGAGAGAAAACTCCAATTTGACGTTTCCTGTCTTTGAATCTTCAGAGGCCTGTCGGAGCTTTGATTGATACTCCAGAAACGGAAGCAGATGCGCAGTCTCTGTACCAAAAGGTGCCTGCAACCTCACATTGGGTTTGATATTAACCATAGATACTGTGGCCATGTTCCGGTGATGAAATGTCAATTGAAAAGAAATTTTTAAAAACTAAAATGCATGTGAACCACAGGGCACTGGCGATGAATCTGCCGATCACCACTTCCGCAAACCGGCCAACGACATCACATCTCAGCTAGAGATCAACTTCGGAGACCTGGGCCGCCCCGGCCGTGGGCGCGGGGGCCCTCGTGGGGGCAGGGGAGGCCGCGGCGGAGGAGGCAGCAGGCCGGCACGTGGCGGAGGGCGCGCTGAAAAGGTAAGGTGGCTGGCAGCGACAAAAAAAGTGAAAATGTGCTCTCTGTGGCGCGTTGATAATAAAGGCCTAAGCTTGAAAGCACTGATGTGGAAAAAAGCTGCTGTGGAGCTCCCAGAGAGCGGCCCAGTGAGCACACGCAGCTTGTGTCAGCGCGTGCTCATGGAATTTCTGTCAAGCGCCTTCTGGGGCAGCTAAGGGGTCCTCCGAAAAAAGGTTTTATTTTTATTTATTTTTTCTAATCATCAACTGACTGTTTTCGCGGAAAGGGGATCACTGGTTTGTCATTTTGAGCCTTATGTTAGTTGCAAGATGGCTTTGATTAGATTGAAAGTTAGATATGCCTGTATTGAGAATTGGGAAATGGAACTTTGGATGTCAGTAGCTTCTCAATCTTTGAATTTGTTCATTTTTGTGTGCAATGGTTAATCCCAAGGTCATCATCTCTTGTTTTCCCACCAGGCGAGTGGCGTGTCGGTCCCCAACGTGGACGACCCCGAGGCTTTCCCCGCCCTAGCCTGAAGGCTACTTCGCCACCACCAGCCCTTCCGTCACCGCCCCCCCTCCCTCCCGCACTCATTGACGAGGCTTGCATGCTAACCACATTCTCAAATATCTTAAGAAATCCTGGAAAAAAGACAAAAAAAAGTCGTCAGCAAAAAAGACAGTTATCCCCTACTCGCACCACCAGAGGACTTAAATTTTAACTACGAACAAGACAAAACAAAAGTGGAAAAAGGACCTCTTGTTACACTGACATTTTGTATTTTGAAACATGAAAGCAGGGATGTTTTCATTGCTTTTTGCCCAGAGATTATGCATAATTCATCAAGTTTGTTTGTGCTTGAAATGATGCATTTTCTGCAATTTGGGCGGTTCTAAGTGTGAGTCGCTGTCTTTCGGCTCAGTATTACGGGGTCCTAGAAAACTTTGAGCTGGAGTGTTTTTCTTTTCCCTCTTCGGTGATGTGGTAGCACTACACTACATATGAAACGTCTATTAGATAGCTCAAGTGTGACTTTTCAAAAGTGTAATTATCCTGACGATACAAGTCCCTTTGAGAGGCACAAAGTGAGGATAGGTGACCAGGCAACAGTGATACGGACAACAAAAAAAAAAAAAAAAGCTTGGGATTGTTCTGCTTGATGTGCAGTGAAAGTAAATGCCTCTTTTTTTTTGGGGGGGGGGGGTTATTTTGGGGTGGACCAGTGGTTAGTAACGCATTGTATCCCCTGATCCGGATGTGCCGCCTGTTTGCAGGATGTGTGTATCTTTAGGCTGGTCCTCTTAGCTCATACGGACTGTACTACTTGTAAATTGAGGACCACTAAACAAATGCTTTTATTTTTATTTCTCATGTTAAGAGTGAGTGCGTATGTGCGAGCGTGCGATGGAATGTGCAACTGCTAGTTACTTAGAAAGTATTGGTATGCTTCACGTGGTCAAAACCATTAGCAGGTTCTCGCCCATGAGAGTGGAAAATGTTTCTCGGGAGGTGATTGCGGCGGTCCAACGCATCTCAAAAAGTGCTCGGTCTTGATCTGAAGGCTCCCACCCAATTCTGTAGACAATATTTTGCTGTGTGTTTTACTTTTGTTATTTTATGAGTGCCGCAGCACTCGTGCATAATGTCTGCTGTTGTGGAACAATCATGATCTACAGAATGTATTTTTTTTTTCCCCCTTGTACGACTGTTTGAGCCACATGACAGTACAACGGTGTGCAAACATCCCTGTTCTAATAAATTGCTTTAGAGGTGTAAAATGTACTCTCAAGTGAAAGTGAATGAAGTGAACTCTTCATTATAAGAACAAATGAGTGACAGCGAATGTGAGGGCAACATACAGTAGTTGCTCTTTGAATGGAATACAGTACAACAGAAATTGTGGCTTCATCATTACACTGCTTTTGCATTTTGTAGCATCCCTCCTTTATTATGAGCTAAAATGAAGACGCAACATCTTTAAGTGTGTGACAAAAGCATGCAACCAATGCGTGTGTTGCTGATGACTTCCCAGAAAGATTCGGACGACTGGCACACTTCGGATTAAACTTTCATTCCACCAGGTTTTTCATATTGCGTCCCTTGCTTCCACCTACAAGGCCTCTGGTTATTATGGAAACAAAAAAATGATGCCGCGAGACTCTCAACTTTGGAGGGAAAAGGCAGTGGATTTCAAGTCTCCCATGTCCATTTACCGGTAGTTAGTCTTGGATTGTTCCAAATCTGTGCTGCTCTTTTGTGAGAAGCTCCAAATGTACTGACACTGAAAGTTCAGCACTGCCACAAATCAAAGGAAAGTGGTTAACTTGCGCCATGTCAAACATCAGAATCTTCTCCACTGCGTGCTTCGGGATTAATCTCTCTTGGAAGTGATTAGATTGTAATGTATTAAGATGCCTAGTGAACTGTTGTCCTATTTTTTTGTCAGACTACTTCCAAGTTGCAAGTTAAGGGTGGGCCTTATGTTGAAGCCTTTTCCTTACACAGCACGCCAGATTCCAACACATTCATATACTGTACTTGGAAATTCAAATTCTAAATTTTAACCCCAGAAGAATGAGCCGGGCAATCTCTACCCCGGAATAGCCCAGCAACATGGCAACGTTTCTCAAAATATGGACTTTTTAAAAAAAACTTCCATCTCTGTTGTGTTTCCAAAATAAGGAGGCACACACTAACTGCATAGTTAATAGAACATAAAAGATTTACGAATGTTTTAATTGTTTTTTATTGAATTTTTTAATTTATTTTATTTTTTTAATTACATTTAATTTATTTAATTTATTGAATATTTTAAAAAAGAAAAAATAGTGCATGAATTATGAACTCCTGAGTCAATATGTTTTTATTTAATTGTTCTTTGGCCATCAAACAAATATTCTCATACTCGTGTACTTTGTGTGCCTAAGCACACAACACAAACTGGTACAATATAAACGTGAGAATGGACTAAAGTAGTTTTTATAATAAATCCTGAACAATTATTTCATTTTATGCTTTAAAAATGCATACTGTGTCGTACATCATAACATTGTAAGACCCTATTTAGTCCAAAATCAGAAAACACAACCGCAAAGTTTTAACTCAAAATGTTAAGTGTGGGCGGCTTGGCCATCGCAAATTTCGGGAAAATATGTTAATTTTCCCGCACAGCCGGCTACACTCCACCCCCTCCCCACCAAACAATCATTTTTCAGCACGCGAATGCCACCGCTACGTTTCGCCGCTTAACGGCCCATCTACAATTTTTGAACACATACCATGAATGTAAAAAAAAAAAAAATTACTATATTATAAACACATAGTTATCTATCTTTATTTATTATTACATTCATTTTGTTATTTAATGTGATAATTTGAACTGACTGTATGAAGATATGCCGTTGTCTTCCTGCATGAATTTATTTGGTGAAATTAATGAAATGCTTTGAAGACAAGATCTCCTTTTATTTGTGAACGAAATTAACAAGAAGGTTTGCTGGAGATGAATGTGTTGTCATGAACCACTGCAACAAAAAAATTTTTGGAAGCACCCATTTTCGTTTTGACGTTAGCCCGAACGCTTTGGGGCTGGACAGGGACAAACCAAGTGGGATAATTCCGATTTCCCACCTTCCTCAAATGCAGCAATAATATTGTATGGCTACTGGCAGATGTGTTAATATTTGTAAAAAACAGATTGTTGCCATTTTGTATGCTGTACGTTGGTAAGCAAGGGATTTTAAAAAGTTTCTCTGTGGTCTGAAAGAAGAGACATTTCGTCAAGATATAATCACCTCATCATTTCCGCTTTCGTCACAGACAACCTCGGTGCGACTGTCTACTGCGCATGTCCACTAGTTAGCGCAGCTTTCCACTTCAACTTCAACTGCGGCAGCCCTCGAGCGGTAACGCGACGCGAGTGAAACAATGACAGAGCTGCAGAAACGTCGACGAAGGTTGTCACTTGAAGCTGAAGGAGCATCCCGACGAGCCGACCATGACAGTTTGGGTGACGGCACAGCGGTACTTCCCAAACTGCTGGCTGCAGGTTTTTATGGAGTCAGTTCCTTTCTCATTGTCGTTGTAAACAAAAGTGTCCTGAGCAGCTACAGGTAAAGTACAAAGTACAAGAGTAAATAATTGCCTCGGTGTGCACTTCATTTGCTTCCAAACAAAAAGTTTGTTTGAGAGAGGAAGAACATTTGAGTGCCTAAGTTATAAGGGCATAGTGCCTGGCAGAGACCTCCTGGACCTTTTAAAGTTTGGGGCAGATGTGCAAGGTAAACTAGGAAAAATAAAATGATGCAAACCTCCAGGTAAAAGTTCATTTAATAATTCGTTCAAATTTTCTAATTGTATTGTTTGTCATTAAATGAATTAGAGTTAACCAACAACACAATAACCTGCATTGTTAAATGTATCTTTACATTTTATTATTATGATACATTTATAATTCCTGTATGTACACAATGTATTAATTTATCTCTCGACGTACATTATATATACTGGAGAGAGAGACATACAGAGAGAAAGAGAGCAAGAAAGTCGATTTCAAAAGTAAAAGCAAATGTTTTATTTTGACTTAACAGAAAAATGGTCAACAGCTAATTTTAATCAGGAATGACTTTGTATCTCAAAACATATTTTTGACACCGATTGAAAGTATGTTTTTACTTTTTTTCCGAGCACATCATGTTTTTGAGATATTTTCATTATATTGTATATACGGTATATTGTAATGGCAATCCTTTGATTGATGTTTCTGTGAGGTCGGGCGATGATAGCTTTTCTCAACAGAAAAAAATGAGGAATCCGATGCAGGATGTAAACAATGAATCGATGATTTAATTTGTCTCTTGATAGTACAACAAAATGAGTGGGCAAAGGAAACAATAAATGGCAAAAAACACACAGAAAATAGACCTGAGATGGCTAGTTAGACAGAACTGAACAGTTTGAAAACTGCTCTACCTGTGCCACACCCCCTTATCCACCTTTTCCCCATTTTCCCAGGCTGCCCATAGCCACTCCCAAATCAAAGCGCTAAACCTGTCAATCAACCATATTCAATCAATCAGTTCAACCAAAATAACAATGGTCATTGTAAGTAAGAGTTATTATTGTCATTAAATCATAAAAAAATCTCATTACGTGCTCCTACACATGTAACCTGATAACATGATAAACTGTCCACTGTCGTAACCGCTGTCCCTGAAAGGGTTGATATTAATTTATTCCAGATTTCCCTCATCAACATGTGTTGGAATTGGACAAGTGAGTACTTCCCGTGCATCAGTAATCTTATGGTCATGTGACCAGCCTTGTTTATTATTTTGCCACCCTCGTTTTTTTTTGTTTTTTTTTTGGCAGATGCTGGCTACAGTGGTGGTTCTAAGGGTTGGCAAAATGTTGGGCGTCATTTCCTTTCCAGATATGGACTCAGGTATCCCACGTAAGGTGAGGTGTAAATACTGAATTGCGGCAGGGGGGGAAATGGGTTGTAGCCAAGGAAAGACTAAACGAATGCAACCTGTTTTTGTCCCTGCAGATCTTTCCACTGCCTCTACTCCATGCTGGGAATCAGATATCCGGACTGTTTGGGACTCAGCGACTTAAGTTTGTTTCTAAGAATTAGACTCTGTTTCCACCAAGCTGTACAGTTTTGTTCTGTTGAAACAGGGTCAGGGTTGAAAAAAGTAGTCTGTCTAATTTGACAAAGTAACAAGTACAAGTTTTGTATTCAGATATATAGAGTAAAAAGTCATCAGGAAACTAAATAGTAGGGATGGGCGAGCACCGATACTATGTATCGGTATCGGGCCGATACCAGCCTTTTTTTTTTTAGGTATCGGGTATCGTGGAGTATCTCGATACCAGCTCCCGGAAATTAAAGGTAAAATAAATAAATAAATAAACAATCGGACATCAAGGAAGTTTGACACATCGGCGAACTATCATTTGCATCAAAAAGGTCACTTTTTTTGCCATTGTGTTTAATGCAATTTTATGTTCAAATGTACTCGAGAGCTTGTTGTTAGTACATTCATATTTGGATTAAGGAAAGAATTAAAATAATTTATACAAGTTGCTCAAAATAAGGCAGCAAGAATTGTTTTGGGTTGCCCATGTCGAACAAATGTTACAAAAATTTAGACTTAGATAATGTTAAGAACATTTCTTAGGAATATTATTTTACCTGGAATATGTATGACACTTGGCGGTTTTGCTAACACTCTTCTTCTTCCTGCATTAGTTTGCCGATGTTTACAGTTCTGCGAAGGTTCAGCATTCTCTTCACCATGCTGTGTGAAGGCATCTTACTCAGGCAAGTGTCATTCCGTTGCCAATCTTCATTATGTCAGTGCACCAACAGTTCAGCACACAACATCCACTTTGCTTTTTCTCATCAGGAAGACGTACTCGACGGCAATCCAAACCGCCGTGTTTACTATGATCTTTGGTGCTTTGATCGCCGCCAGGTGAGTTGGCCGAACGCAACGCGTACATGTCCCATGTTTCACAAACGTGAGTACAACTCTCACATTTTCGGGCAATATATTTATCATGCATCTTTTCTTGGGACAACACTGAAGAAATGACACTTTGCGTCAACGTAAAATAGTCAGTCAGACCACATAGGAATCAAAGGAGTCGCACTACCACTGAGCGGTGTGGCATTTAAAGGTAACAACTGCTCAACTTACGAGTTGGCAGAATGACACCGCAACCAAAGCAGCTACATTGCTAGCATGAGTTATTCACGATGGAGTATTGTATGAAAT